AAGAAAATACTACCACATTAAACAACTGTATCAATTGTTAGAGGTAGCCTAATTTTAAAAATGTAAAAAAAAAGAAGATCATTGAATGTTATAATTGAGGGGGACACTATAATTGAGGAAATACATTATTTATTGGATAACAATCCTGACCTATTCCATTATCAGTAAGACCATACAATGGGCTGTTGATGATGGCTCCTTTTTAGTATTTAACAAAATGAGAGTAGAAATCATTTATATATCAGCTTTTCCAACTATAGAATGAAAATTAAACTTGATTTGAGTAGAGGGAGTGGGGACACAAAAAGGAGGAAGTGCTGAATTTTGACTTAGCATCCTAAAACAACATCAGCTCCATCTACAAGCGATTTTTATAGTTAAGAAGAAGATTATCAGAGAGGAGAAAACATTAAATTCACATGTGAGAAACATTAGACTTTCAAATAAACATTCAGTGTACCATTTACCCACACCATATGCCCAATAATGCACCCAACTTTCTTGTCGGCCTGTGAGTTATTGACATGATGAATACTCAGAGTCATCAACTCACAGAGCCAATAAGAAAGAAATGAGAAATAACTAAGAGGTAGGTAGGAATGGAAAAATCACAACTCTCAACAGTGAGAGGAGCCAGATTAAGTTCAAATGTAGGCCTTTGAATGACCTAATTGAATTTAGTGCATTAGCCATTGCTTCAAATTGCCATTTTTCTCATCAACTAAGCTTTTCTACGTGTATAACTAACAATGTAAGTAGATCCTGGGAAGACGCCATCAGGTGGAGAGTTGAGATACTACAGTGATGTGAAGATGTGGCGCAGCTTTCGATGCATAAGAAAATGCTATCGAGCAACAAACACACAGATATACAAACGAGAAAAGAAGTTGCATACTCCCTAGATTAGATACTTACCAACAGATACTTACAATAAATCAGTCTCCTTAGAGGAACGGAGGTGGACAGTGCAAATGTCCATGTACTCACACGGAAGGTGGCCAAGGATAAACAGGGATTTTCAAATCAGACAAATCTGAATCCTGACTTCATCTCCAAGCAGCTCTTCACCCCCTGCCAAGACATGTAAATCTTTCTCAGCTACAGTTAACTCTTCCATGAAATGACACCAACATATTCCTCTCAAGGTGGTTAGAAGGATTCGTAACTGATAACAATAATAAATTAATATGTTGCTGCCATTAATTGAGCACTATTTATGTGCCAAGCAGCTATTTATGTGCCAAGCACTTGATATATTACTTCATCTTTACCACCACACACAGTGTTGTCTGTTCCCATTGTACAGATTAAAAACCTTCCAGTATCACCCAACTAGAAATGACTGGACATAACAAACTCAGTTATGTCTATTAGAGATTGTTTGTAACCACTGTGCTGTAGTAATAATTTTAAACATTTTGTTTTGTTCACTGCAGCTAGAACCAAGTGGCTAGAATGGCACCTACCACATAAAGATCATAAATATAGTAACAAAATCTGTGGGCTGACTGGAGTATTTCACATGTGTTAATATGCTATTCAACAAGCATTTTTTAAATAAGTTTATCATTTCATTCCCACAATGATTTTGCACTGTTATCTCTAATTTACAGCTGAGGATCTGAAGGCTTAGAAAAGTTAACCAGGTCAGGCATGGTGGCTCATGCCTGCAATCCCAGTGCTTTGGGAGGCCGAGGTGGGGAGATCACTTGAGGTCAGGACTTCAAGACCAGACTGGCCAACACGGTGAAACCCCGTCTATAATAAAAACACAAAAATTAGCCAGGTGTGGTGGCAAGTGCCTGTAGTCCCAGATACTTGAAAGGGTGAGGCAAGAGAATTGCTTGAACCTGGGAGGCAGAGGTTGCAGTGAGCCGAGATCATACCACTGTGCTCCAGCCTGGGCAACAGAGCAAGACTCTGTCTCAAAAAAAAAAAGAAAGAAAAGTTAACCAGATTTCCAGAGCAATATAGTAAATGATGGAGCCTGAATATGAGCCCAGATCTGGCTGCTTTAAAGCCCAGCTTTCCTCTGAAGCAAAGCTGCTTTCAGCATAACATGAATAGGTGCCTAATACAGTGCCCGCCATATAATAGTCATTTCATAAATATAGTGCTCTCCTCATGCATATATATATATATGGGCCCCACCTCGGCCTCCCAAAGCACTGGGATTGCAGGCATGAGCCACCATGCCTGACCTGGTTAACTTTTCTAAGCCTTCAGATCCTCAGCTGTAAATTAGAGATAACAGTGCAAAATCATTGTGAGAATGAAATGATTTAACCCACTTAGGGTAGCTGATCTAAAATAGAGTGTGTTTGGGTTTTTTGTTTGTTTTTTGGGACTGAATCTTGCTCTGTCGCCCAGGCTGGAGGGCAGTGGTGCAATATCTCAGCTCACTGCAACCTCTGCCTCTTGGGTTCAAGCAATTCTCCTGCCTCAGCCTCCTGAATAGCTGGGAATACAGGCATATGCCATCATGCCCCGCTAATTTTCATATTTCTTAATAAAGATAGGGTTTCACCTTGTTGGTCTCGAACTCCTAACCTCAAGTGATCTGCCCACCTCAGCCTCTCAAAGTGCTGGGGTTACAGGAGTGAGCCACCGTGCCTGGCCTAAAGCAGAGTCTGTTTAATATATCGAAGTTTTATGTGGAAATGCTTCTAAGTGGGTCATCCAGCATTGGTATGTCTGATGAAATTGGCAGCTGTTTATTTAGTTAACTTACTTCCATTGTTTAAACAAGTCACATTTCGGGGTTGTCGTAAAAAGTAAAAGTAACAAAGGATGTTGAATCCTTGGCATTCACCTCTGTCTTGAAACCCATGGTCCTGCCAGCATGCAAAGAAGACCAGTCTGATGATTTTGAGTCAGCTGCGCACACCATTAGTGACTGGGCAGGCTAGACAATCTTGTTTTCTTTAGATTAGCAGCATCAGGCTAGGGGATGTCTAGCTTGCCTCTCAAAGGACAGGGCCACAGAGATATTACCTGCTAAGCTTATTTAACAACTGTTGATTTCCTCTGATGGTCCAGAATGAAAACATTCCCATCTGCCTTCAGTAAATCTGCAAGTAATGTCAGCAAGCTAACCTAGGTAACTAAAAGGAAGACATAAATAACAAGGACAAAACCAAAAATCTGTTTTAAATTCACATGGAATTTGAAGATTTTCTTGCATGTTTAAAATGGAAGCCTTTTTCATATGAGGATCTTCTCAGTATTAGTGGGTTATAAAAGAACTATTTAGGATTTTTAATATAAAGGGTAACATTATTGAGAGAAAGAATGTTTATGTTTAAAAGATGATACACAAATTCCTTAAATGAAAGTGTATCATCTTTTAAACATAATGAAACACAAAAGGAAGTGACATAGTGTGCTACTCCAGACTCTGAGAATTCATTTTGATTTCTGAGACTATCAAATCACACATATTTCTAAATATTGGAAAAGTAAAGTTCCTCCCCATCTGGGCTCACATGGAAAGAAAGCAGTAGAAATGGGGATAATATCTGTGGTTTTGCACATCTAGGCTGGTTCCTGAAATCCAGAACCTAGATGAATCAGAAAGTACTAAAAACTTACCATTCTCAGAAACCAAATATGATACTACGAACACTGCTAAAAATGCTCCAATTTTTTTATCAAAGTTAAGTAGATTCCAGTTTTAATTCTGAATTATAGATTAAGTTAATGGTTTTGTAGCTAAATATCTCAATGATTCGTTGATGTAAGTATCACTATTCCAGCTTTTCCACTACTTAATAATATATATGGCTAGTCTGTGAATGATACCATCTGGCACGGCTGTGAGACATGTTCCTGACAAGGCTGTACTTCAAAAATAACTTCTGAAATAAAAAATGCCAAAATTCATGCTATCCGCATAAATTATAAATTATTGAGCTTAAAACAGGACAGTCAGTGAATCATTACATTTATCGATTGGTTTATTAGCAATAATAAATCATATTTCACCAGGACCAAATTTGAGGTGCCTTTCAAATACGCTTTTTTTGAAGGACGTTTAAAGTGGGAATCAGAAAACTATGAGAAAATGCAATTGGAAGAATATATCCAGCCCTCTTTGCATACGTCTATCGACAACTGCCTGATCATTAGGCATAAGGCTGCAGATCGGTCACCTATGAAAATGGGGATGCAATTTTATGAGAGAAACTCATCAGCATAATTCTAATGAGTTATGGTCTTTGTTGTGAGAAATAAGAAATTCTGTGGTCTCACCCTAAAGAACATTAAAAAAACATAACTAACAGGAAATTGAAAAAGTAATATATGTTTGAGTGATGAGGACAACTTTTTTCTGATTGAATAGATAGATATATTGCATGCAAGTATCAAAATACATTTAATTATGCCACAACAATGGATATTCTCTTCACAAAAAGCATATGAATCATCTTGGACTCACAAAACTGGGTGGTGATAAACAGATGCATCTTTAATGGCACTTGGCATGGCTTCGTTCCCACCCTCTTTTTTTCTTTGAGTCTTGTTTTGTTGTTATCCTCATTGAAATGCAGCTTTACAGCCTGTATGTGCTCACTGAGGATAAACACAGCGCTAAGAGATGCTAAATATGTACAGTATTTTCTCAAGCAATTGCCAAACATTTTCTTCACCAATTCCTATTGCTCAAAAAGACTTGGAATATTGGACATCGCTGGTCCAATTTAGGGTTTCGTTGTTTGTTTGTTTGTTTGTTTGCTACCACTGCTGCGGCTCTTTTTTTCTCACCTGGGAAGAAAAATAAACAGTTCATAGGTTCAGGGTTTTATTTAGGAATCTTTACTAAAGCTTCTAAGGACCAAAACTGAGTGAAACTAACAGGTGTTCTCCCAAGCAATAAATAACTTTAATCTGATTTAGTCACTTAATCTGGCATCAACAGGCATAAGCAGAAATACTTTGGCAAATTCTAGGTATTTTTGCTGGTATTAAAACTTAAAGTTTTCGGCAAAGCCATATAAAGGCTCACAAAGTTGGTCTTTCCGTAAAACGATGGCTTCACCACAGTTGTGCTTCTCTTTTAAGGGGGAAAGATGTTGTAGCAATTTGATAGGGTCGGCAGCTACCAAGGAAATGAAAGGAGCTCATAGTTTAATTTGTAGTCACTGTGGAAAAAAGGAAAGAAATTATGAAATGAAATGTTTCCGGTTTATCCATAAAAAATTGTCTGTTTTCTGGTATCTGGAACATTCTTAAACTTTCTAGTGGACAAATATAACCAAAATGTAAAACTACTAACAAGAATTGGAAATTGAAGCATTAGATCATGTTTACAAATATTTTCATTTCCTCCCACTAAATAAGTAATATTCAAATAAATCAAGTGAGGGAAAGAAGAATAAATAATGTAACATGCTGCAAAGGGAAGCCAAGGCCACAGTGGTTCGAAGGCGCTCACTTTTATGTGATATCGCATGTGCCCTTGTTATAAATAACTTTGCCCAAACAGAATAGCATATAGTGCTGAGCATCTTGCTTATCTGGCCCTTTCTAGGAGAACTGCTTTGTATCCCTAAGTATTTCCCTTTAATCACAGAGGAGGCTAGTCAACGTTGATTCCAACATCATGCCTGCCTTGGTCTGTTATGGCTGCTATAACAGAATATGGTAGACTGAATGGCTTATAAACAGCAGAAATATATTTTTCATAGTTCTAGAAGCAGAGAAATCCAAGATCACAGTGCCAGCAGATTCAGCGTCCAGTGAGCACCCGCTTCCTGGTCTCAGACCGCTGTCTTCTTCCTGTGTCCTTACATAGTGGAAGGGTCCAGGGGTCCCTTTTATATGGACACTAACCCCATTTGACCTAATCACTTTCCAAAGGCCTCACCTGCAGATACCATTGCATTGGACTTGAGGTTTCAACATGTGAAGTTTTAGGAAATAAGTTCAGCCCAACTGAACCTTGACAATAGCTGGAGATAACATTTTGCACCATTGACTCTTCCATCTCCTGTTTTCATCGTCCTACTTTCTAGTTGAGTAAAACATATTCAGAGTAGAAGGAAAAAAGTACCACAGAGAAATCAATTAGCCTTAAGTAATCCAGAGCTTTTGTATGCTTTTCATTATGCAGATATATAATTCATATATAATTTTAAAACTGGTGCTCATGGCAGGCACCTATAATGTGTTTAAAAAAAGGATACATTTCCTAGACACCGATTGCTGCCAACCAGCCACACCAGGAATAGACCACGAGGGCAGTTACAATGAATTCTCATTTAATTCTCATGTCAATGTGATATAATCATGTGTAAATTTAGTTTACTCCTTCGATTATATTCAGGATCAAATCCTTTTTCTACCGATGCTTCTGAAAGCTCGAGTGGGAACCCAGATAAAAGAGAAAATAGCAAATATCATAATTATAGTAAAATAGGTAAGCCCAGATATTATACTGCATCTTAAAATTAAAAATTTAAGAAAAAACAAGCACTCATACACACAGAAAAACAAAATCACAACACCTACCTCCAAAGCGTGCAGTGTGCCAGTTTCAGTTGTCGTATTATTGTGGTAGGAACTGTCAACCGTTCAGAATGGGGCGAAGGCTGCTTACTTCATTTTGCCAAAGGGTCTGAGAAATACTCAAGTCCAATAAGGATGGTCATTGTATCCATTGAGTTGACTCCTACCTGGGGGGACCTGTCAGTTCCCTGAGATGTAGACTTTCTTCTGCGAGGTTTGCTGCTAATGGGCTGCGTAACTAGGGTTCAGGCCACACTCTATACGCAAATTATTCCTGTAAAGCACCTTTGGAATCGACATTATTCATCTTGTCTTACATCATTAGCATCTAACAGGATCCCTTCTCCCTGCCTCGTCATTTGTAATTGGAAAACACAGATAGACACAATAGGTTTCTTCTGCTTCAACAACTGCACAACTAATGCATTTGAATAGTACACATGTTCAAGTCAGCTGAAACTTCAACAATCACTATTATTAATAGCAGCCACTACCTCTCAGAAATAAGCCAGATTCATAGTTTATGGGAAAATATAGTCTGCTCACAATTTAAAATGCTCTACCTCTGCTGGCTTCTTAAATTCTTTCTTCTCTCTTTTCCCTTGTCTCCTTCTTGCTTTCTTTTCTCCTCTTGTTTTTCAAGCATTCTTAGTTGACAAAGTCCCGATGTTCATTATGACTCACAAAAACGTCTTTCCTGAGTGTCACTGACGTTAATATTTGAGAGTCCCTTTCAGCCTTCTCAGGGGTGCTGTTCCTTCCTCTGCTCTTGAACAAAAAGCTCAGCGGCTTCTTGCTTCTTGACTTCTCCTGGCATCTCAGGTAACACAATCTTGTACTGTCACTTTAAATTGCAAATAAGTTGCCCATTCCCTGACAACAGTCCCAACTGCCACCCTAACTTAAAATACCATTAGCAGCCCCAACGGGGGCCTCCTTCCTGCTGCTTGCTGCTGTGGGAAAGTGTAGCTGGCCCCTCCTGTTGTCCCTGTTGGAATGGTTCCCATCCTGCTCCAGCATGCGAGTGATGCCCTCCACCAGTCAGGCTGAGGTGAGGAAAGGAGAGAGGAGCAGATGAGAATGGCAGAAGGCTTCCCGCTCTCTGGACCAGCCAATGGCTCAGGACAACTCTTGGGGGCACTTTCATGAGCTCTTTTGAGGCCCGGCTGGGACCTTTCAGTGGCACGTTGTTATGGGCACTGTGTTTCCTTCTGGCTGCCCACTTCCTGCTCAGAGCTTCGTTTCCTCCAGATCTACTGTTCAAAGGCCTCTCTGGTTGTTGTCCCAGTACCCATTCCCCAAGGAGTCCTCTGGGACAGGATTTTAAATGGTTCAGACCCATGATACTGAGCCCAGAGAAACACTCACACATTCTTGCTCCTGCTATCACAGGAGAGTAGCTAGTGCCAATGGCAGACAGTGATCTTTCTCACTCTCTTTCTCTCTCCATCCCTCTTCACTTCCTTCCTCTTCTTCTTCGATTTTCCTCTCTTTCACCCTCCCGTTTTCTTTTTCCTCCTTCTTCAGCTCAAAATCCATAGCCTCTCACCTTTTCATTCCTCAATAATATTTCCCCCAAATTTGAGAGCACAATATTTATTCAGCCATTTTCATTATCCTTCAGGTAAGGAGAAAGCTCCCTATCCTCCACCTCTGGAAGTGAGGAAGACACAGATTATCAAAACTTCTCTGTGTCTCTCCTGGTTGTTGAGACCTGAGTTCTGGAACTGTCTAGATGGTTTTCAGTAAGCTCCCCCATAAATCCAGCATGTAGTCAAGTTCCTCCCCAGGAATGCAGCACCAACTGGGTCTTGGTGCCCCCACGAAAGCTTCCAGTGAGCATTCTATTATAAAACAGGGAATATTAAATTATGTTTCATAATAAGCTATCATCTTCTATTCATCATGGTAAACAATTTTCGTCGTAAAAAATACAACAGTCAGAATAATTCAAAAGAGTTTTTGCAACTTAGTGTAAATGCCCAAGAGTTACCACACAAGCATGAAAACAAAAGCTATGAATGACCACTTACTGAACACTTATTTGGCTGGCAAAGCAGTGTTGAGTGCTTTGCATAGATTATCTTAGTACTCACAGTAACCTTACAAAGTGGACATTATTATTCCTATTTTACAGACGAGTAGACTGAGATCCTAAGAGACAAAGTAATTCATCAGTGATCTCCTACTAGTTAGTGGCAAAGCCTGGGCTTAAACCCAGCCAGTGGGGAACTTTTTTTTCCTTGGTGTACATCTTAAACTCTATTAAGGAGAATTATCTTTAATGGCTTTTAAGAAGCTTTTAGGGGAGAGGATTGTTTTTATTGTTATTGCTGTTTAAATAACATCCATTTTCAATTATTCCTCTAATAGTGTGACAGAAAGTGCCATTTTAAAGATCCTGACACCTCCAGTTCTTTACTCTTGCCTGTGAGTGTGTTCCTAAAGTTGAACCAAACAATAGAGCACCAAGCAAGGGCTCTAATTCTAACCGACAATAAAAAAACATCAAGTAGGTGGATACTCCCAGGGGCACAGTACCTATTGGTACCCCTAATAAAAACATTAAAGTATAAACCTTCAAAAATCCTTTCTCACAGTTGCTCATCAAACGAATATATGTCATCCATTTCTTGCAGGTTGGTCTAAGGTAATTTGTCTCATATCCTGGGCTGTAGTGATACCATCTTGGAACACATTGCCATTCCTATCCCCATACCCATGCCAGACGTTGTCAATCAATCAGTCATGACAATGAAGAAACTGTTTCTTCCCAAACTCTGGAACCTCCAGAGCTCCAGAAAGCCATGGCCAGAGGACTGGCATTTCCTGCAAGATTAAACCCATTTACTCTTGGGCTAGTGTCTTCCCCTGATTAAATGCTTTCATCTGCTTGTCTTTATGCCTTTACATTCTCTGATTCAGATTCACTTCTAAAGCCTCTCTCTATATTGATGCTTCTCCTGTTCCCTGTCTTGGACATAGCCAAATGCAAGAAGACACTAGTTTGCATCTTGGAAAAATACATTTTGTTTGAGAAATGAGAGTATTCTCCTATATTTCTAGAACCAATATCCTAATCAGAGTTGCCCAAATAATTCTAAGAGAGTTTAACCTTAACTTTCAGAATACAATGAGCCTAGAATGAATTTACAATATAAAGAAGATAAAAATCATCACTTAGAGGAAGAGAGAGAATACTTGTGTCCAGAACAGAAAAAACAGGGAAGGTGATTGGCTGTTTCTGTTTGGACATCACTCACCACCATCTCCCTGGCTCTCAAATGCTATAAGCTCTTTGTTGAAGAATGGACAAAATGACCCTCGTGTTAACAAAAATCTCTTGACCAAAACATGCTAAAAACAGGGAAGGTGATTGGCTGTTTCTGTTTGGACATCACTCACCACCATCTCCCTGGCTCTCAAATGCTATAAGCTCTTTGTTCAAGAATGGACAAAATGACCCTTGTGTTAACAAAAATCTCTTGACCAAAACGTGCTAAGATTGCACAAATATTTAGGAAAGAATTGTCTCTGCTGATGGATTGAAAGACCTGAGGAAGTCACCGATTTACACCATTAATGGGTCTCCCTTTCTTACATATATCAGCAACAGAATTGCTTGTCAATTTGACATCTGCAATCACGTTCTCCATAACAGAGTTTAACAGCCTATCATCGGCTATAACAACATGTAGGCTATCAGATGACTTGTCTGAATGCCCTGGGCTTCTGTGACACAACCCTCAGACTGCTGCTGATGACACACACCCATCAGCAGTGAATACATTCAGAGGCCTTTACCCATCAGTCAGGATTCATCTCTATTGACTACCTCAACTAGACTGAGGCGCATGAGGGCAGTGTAATGATAACCTCACGACCCGAAGGAGCTCCAGAGCCCTAAATTGCCAGGGTTTGCTACAATTGCAAACTAATTTTCATTATGGCTTAAGTTGTAATCGCTGCTGAATTGATAGTCACATTTGGGTGTAAGCCACTCACGTTCTTATGGAAACGGGGATCTTTTAAATATATGTGCTGGTAAACACTAGTAGTCATTGAACGATTCTTTTAGTTGCTCTTGCAATATGAACTTTATTCCTCTTCTGTGATTTATGCTTTTTACCCATTTAAGGAAAAAGACAGATAGACATTCACAGCAACAACCAAGTCAGTTCTATTTCAGAGAAGTCAGAACTCTTTAGGTCACAAATTATTTTTATAGTACTGCTATGGGCCTTGGCCTGGTTAAAGAATTTTTCGGAGATGAATTATAACTGGTGGAGAATCGGGGCAAAGACATAGAGCATCACCGCAAACAATGCATGAGCAGTTTGGTGTAGGATTGACAGGACAATGCCTTTACTGAAAATTTTCTAATGTTACAACCTAGGCATAGAGTAGCCCATGCTTTTTGAATTGAAGCAGAGGTTAGTGAATCGAGCAAATCCTATGCCAAGGAGTCATTGAGGCATTTCGATTCACACTTGGACACTACAGTAGCATCCTAGGTCTACAACTGATTTCCAGATCTGTAGTCCCTCACCACTGAGTCCATTCTGCTCACACAGTGACATTTACATGGAATCGCTCCATTTCTGCACTCCCCTCCACTCCCAACAAAACTCCCTCACTGGAACCCCTTGGCTGGATGGAATTTGACCCTCTCGGGCTAACCTGTCTCAACCTTTTCTTGCATCCAACTCCCTATCGCCCACGTTTCTCACCTTCAGGCTGATCTCCTGTTGGGAATGGTTTCTCTGCCTTCCCCAAATCTCACCTAACCTCCAGACCCCTTTCATCTGTGAAGGCCTCTTGAACCATCTCTACCTTTCTTCCTCAGAAATGACTCACTCCTTCCCAATAGTCTTTTGCACGCCCACCACGTGGGTATAGAGATTTTTCTCCGAGAGCTCTTGCTACTCATTTGGTGCTCGTCATTTTCACCCTTGGATTCTTGGAATCTCTGCATTCAAGGTGCCTGTCTTGTTTACCCCTCCCCTGCCCCAGCTGCATCTTCTTGGCATCCTTCATGGCACCTGACACAGTATTTATAGAGAGAAGGACCTACAGGTATTAGGCTGCTCTGTAGGAATCCTCAGCATTTCAGGATAACATAAATTTGTCTAGTACACTGAGTGGCTTCAACAGGAGTCACAGCCTAGTTGCCCATGTGCTCAGTGGCAAATCCTTCCATCAGGACTTCTCCTAGCCATAAATTTTAGCTTCTGGGAGCTGGAAAGTCAAACTCCATAAGGCTAGTTTTAGGACTGCAAGCATTGTAAAAGCATCCTCTTTCTATCTTTACTCTCAAATAAGAGATTCCCCTACAGCCTTGTCAAACTTCCTTTTTAATTTCCTGATTTAGTTGAAACATATGTAGATGCACATACTTCCCTTGAATATCAAAAGGCCTTTATTTAAAATATGATTTCCACAGGTAAAATGGACAACTTCTCATGACTACAGAGAGTCTCAGACCTTTGCCATCTCCGCTCCCCCGGTTACCTTCTCATGACCTCTGAAGTCAAAGTCCACGTAGGAGCTCTGATTAGATCTGTGGCTGTGCTAAGAGGGATCAGAGCCAGCATAAGCAAAACAGGCACATCAGAGAACATTTAGATGACACCGTGTGTGACCATCTTTATCCTTCAATGAATGGGAGCAGATTAAAACCAACCCATGGTGATACCTTCAGGAATATGACAAAACTCCCCATAATGCACCGCCAAGTTTTTGACTCATTGAGATGGTGACCCCAATACCCCTGAAAGGGGAACAAAAATAAGAAATGCATAACGTCACCAAAGGCTTCCTGACTTTAGAATTGCTCCTGACCCCCTACCCCCACCTCGAAGGCAGACTCTCTTTGTTAAAGGCACCGACAGTCAGGTCATTACAGATTCCTCTAGCACTACCGTTACCCTATCCTTGATAAGTGATGCTCAGGCCTAGAAAAGAAGAGAGGACAGGGTTGGGAGGAGCATAGGCAGCACCATGTTTTAGTAATGTGGCAGCACCCAGTTGGGAGTGAGGTTGTGCTTCAGGAAGAGGCTAATGACTTGTTTGCATTTGCCTTTCTTCTTCTTTCCAGCCAGAAAGCAGGCAGAGTATTTCATTACCGCAGAGGTGAGCACAGACTGGTGTCAATCTTCCCCGGGCAAGACGCCTCTCTCTCCGTCACAGTGTGTTCTGTAACTGTCATGTGCTGTGCTTACCCTGAACCATTCTTTCAAGCTACCTGCTCCCCCTGGCTCTTAACTGCGCTGACACCCTGCCTCAAACAGGACCCAGACCCCTGCCCCCGTAGGTGCGTCCATCTTCCACAGGCTTTCAGCTCAGGCCAATCGGATGAAGTGAGGCTGCAAAAGCCTAAGACAAGGGCAGAAGCCAAAGTGGGTAGGTTGGTGGCCGAGTGTTGATTGTGCATCTGTGGAAAGGGAGGTTATCCAACGTCGGCTGACGATGGGAGGCCTGTTCCCGGGCCTCTCTTACCTTGCCTATGGGGTCACAGAAGCCAGCCTTTGAAGCTTGGCTGTCGAATGCAAGACCACTCATCAATAAAGTACTTATGATCTATTGATGTGGACGCCTCCCGACCTTGCCCGCACTGATGGGACGTGCTCATTGCTGATGCTGCGGGCCAGGCATTGCGGGCTTGCTCAGTGAGACTGCAGCCCTGCCACACTCCCTAGGGGACAGCTGACCACTCTCCCAGTAATTACTTGACCTTTATCGGCCTCCATTGACAAATGTCATTGATACTTGGTAGCCACACAGGTCCTCCATTAGTGCCAGCCCACAGGGGCTTTTGTGGTAGACGCAGTGGCCCAGCGATGAGGAGGCTTTCTCCAGCACGATCTGTCACTGAATGGCGTGGTCTTGCAGTTCTCCTGTGGTTCCACCCGCATCTGGAGTCCCAGTGGGAGCTGAGTCTAGAAATGATTGAGTCAAAAAACATTTATTGAGAAGCTGTGTTCAAAGCACTGCTTGGGGTATCGTGCGGGTAGAAAGCTGTATCAATTACAAACCCAGCCCACCAGCAGTCTTTCATCTTGTGGGAAATTACAAACGATACACAGTGCATTTTCTTTTTTTTTTTCTTTTGAGATGGAGTCTCACTCTTGTTGCCCAGGCTGGAGTGCAATGGTGCGATCTTGGTTCGCCAAAACCTCCACCTCCTGGGTTCAAGTGATTCTCCTGCCTCAGCCTCTCCAGTAACTGGGATTACAGGTGCCCACCAACATGCCCGGCTACTTTTTTGTATTTTCAGTACAGCCGGGTTTCACTATGTTGGACAGGCTAGTCTCAAACTCCTGACCTCAGGCAATCCACCCACCTCTGCCTCCCAAAGTGCTGGGATTACAGGTGTGAGCCACCACGCCTGGCCCACAGAGAATTTTCTAAGACCTTCGCACCCTCCAAGGTCCTCCATGCAGTGGGAGCCAGAGGGAAGGATGGAAAAGCTTGGGGTCAGCCAGACCTGCACTGTAGCCCCAGATTGTCACTTACAAACGCCTCTGTGAAGACACTCTGCTGAGTTGCTTGGCCTCCCTGTGCCCCTGTGTCTTGCCTAGTAAGCAGAGGCATGACAAATATTACTTCATAGAGGTATTGTAAGAATATAGAATGCAGAGGAATGATACATGTGAAAACACTTCCTGAGATCTTATTACCATGTCCTGGTGGCCCTCAGGCCAGGTCACCATATTTCACCTCTGGGAGCCGGAGGCCTTAAAGGAGACTGGCACAGCAGAGCTGCATAGCCATCCTAATGTGTGCGGAAGTGGAAAAGCATCCACACAGCCAGTGCCACATCACATCTTGGGAGACACCACCACAATTGGAAATGGAGATCATATTTTAGGTTTTTACAGATTACATCTGTCACTAAGTGTGTCACTAATAACATGGTCTCTATTTCCAGATTCTATGGACACCCGGTCTGTCCGTTTGCTGTTTCTATTCATGGTGCCTTTCTCCTTGGCACAGTAATTGGATCTGGCCAGGCCCCTCCTGCGGTCAGTCCCCAAGGTCCCTGGCTGAAGCCAGAAGCCACTGAATGCAGAGAAGAGCCTCCCCTGCCACCTGCCATGGAAGCCCCAAGCCTGTCACCTTTAGGCCCTAGCTTTGAAATCACGTCATTTAAAAGGCACTTTCTTTCTGATTTCAGTCCTCAGTAGTCACTTCACCTCTAGTTTAAGAGTTTCAAACATTTGTCTATAATCTCATTTCTCTCAAGCCTTCGCAAAGCTTAGATCCCTTGACAAATGTGCCACAGCCAGTAAGTGGCACAGCTGGGAATGGAATCCTGTCCCTCTGTCTCCAGAGCCCAGGCTCTCCAGCACTATGAGCACCAGTGTGTGTGAGGCCCCTAATACTGCTGGGGGTATCAGGGAGCCCCTCCCCGGACCTTGGGAGAGAAGCTGGATGTCTGTGGAGGGAAGGAGGCAGAGGAAAGAATGTCAGAGGATCCCCTTGAGTTCCAGGAGTGTGGAGCCCCCCTGAGGTTGGGGGGTCAGAGGGGATGCAGCTCCCCAGGTGGAAGAGTGCCTTGAGTGCTGTGAGAAGCCCATTCTCCTTCTGGTTCGGAGAAAAAGCAGATGTCAGCTCTGCCCTGGCAAAAACTGCATGTTTATGCCTGAACAAATGCTTGATTTTATTTTTAAATAAGATGTTTCTCCCTTCCGTCCCATGAAACAGTTCATGTGTACTTATCTCTTCTTTAGACACCTGCCCCGGCCACTTTCTTCCACCACGCCCCCTTGCAGATTCTAAGTCGGCTCCCAAGCAGCATCCTACAGAGACCAGGCACTACGTGGTCTTTAGTTGCATGCACTGACCCTGCACGGAGCCAGCTCCTCACCTTTTGGGCCTGTCTCTTACAGATTATTGGGACCATTCCACTGATGCCTAATCCGGGGCCATCGAGCCAAGCAGCAAGCGGCACTCAGGGCCTGCAAGTGCAGCCAATCACCCCCCAGCTCCTAACAAATGCCCAGGGCCAGATCATCGCCACAGTCATTGGGAACCAGATCCTGCCTGTGATCAACACCCAGGGCATCACGCTGTCACCCATCAAGCCCGGCCAGCAGGTAAAGGTTCCCGGCCAAGGCAACCATGGCACAGGACACTCTCCTTACCCAGCTTCTCCTCATTGGTTTCAATCAATGAACAGCAATTTTTACATTACAAAATATTTGATCTCACTAACGGAACATATTGATAGTTACGAAATGGCATGTAACTCTATTTTTCATTCTTAATGAGTATGGGTGATAACTAAATAGCTCTTTAATCTAAAAATAAGAACATATTACATTACAGAGAGAGTGTCCTAAAATTCATTAGGGATGTATTCTTATTCATCTGTTCTCAAGATACTTAATTTTCAGATATTCAAAATGGAGTCAAAAAGAAACCAAGAATACCCATGCCTTAACTGTGAATAAAAAAATTATTAAATATTAAGAGATCCCAAGTTGCTGTTGCTGAAACCACTGTCTACAAATGAGGAAATGAAAAATAGGAAATTCTGCTTGGTTGAATTTCACAAAACCATGATGATCCAGTTAATTTTTCCATTCAAATATCAACTGAGAGTTTCCTATGTGTTTATGCTAGCGGCTGGATTCACAGCACAGAAGAAAGATGTGGTCCCTGACCTCATGGAGTGTCTGGTTAGTTGGCTCCTTCAGCAAACACTTTTCATAACCTACTGTATAACGGCCCCTGATAAATGCTAAGAAACAGAAATAAAGGAGAGGTGCTTTCTGATTATAGGGAGCTCATCACCCTGTAGAGAACACAGATATGTAAGCAGAATCTGTTGTGTAGTAGAGCAGAGACTGCCCTGTGACAGGGCAGGTGTGACCGCAGAGCTGGAAGTGACCAACTCTGCCTGGAGAGTCTGGAGTCCTCCCAGAGACAATGGCTTGGGAATGGAGTCTGGACGGTGTTGGGGGGTGGGGAGGGGTAAGAATTAAGCAAGTAAACGAAGGGTTAACAACATTCCAGACAGAGGGAACGGCAGGCACAGAGGCAGGGAAATGGGAAAGAGGATGGAGTGTGGAGAAACAGGAGAAAGGCTCTTGTGATTGGAGCAGAGGGGAGGCGGAGGACATTCAGGGAAGGGCTCCGTAAACAAGCTGAAAGAGATGGGTTTGTTCTCTATGTGATCTTGAACACACTACGTATCATCTCTGTGCCCCCATTATCTGATTTGTGAACTGGTAGACACACCAGTAGCTACCTCACAGGGTGGTTATGAGGATCAAATGAGTTAATACATAGATGAAGTGGTCAGAAAAGAACCTGGCATACAGTAAGCACTAACATAGTCCTGACGATACTGATGATGATGGTGATCATTTTACTCCGCAGCCCAGCCCTGGAGATCTATAAGAGGTTTGTTGTTGTTGTTTTTAATTTCTTCTAAAACAAACAAAAAAAGGGATATATGCGCAGAATGTGCAGGTTTGTTACATAGGTTATACATGTGCCGTGGTGGTTTGCTGCACCTATTGACCCATCCTCTAAGTTCCCTCCCAGCAACCCCCACCCACAGCGGGCCCTGGTGTGTATTGTTCCCCTCTCTGTGTCCATGCGTTCTCAATGTTCAACTCCCACTTATGAGTGAGAACATGAGGTGTTTGGTTTTCTGTTCCTGTGTTAGTTTGCTGAAGATGATGGCTTCCAGCTTCATCCATGTCCCTGCAAAGGACATGACCTCATTCCTTTTTATGGCAGCATAGTATTCCATGGTGTATATGTACCACATTTTCTTTGCCCAGTCTATCATTGATGGCCATTTGGGTTGATTCCATGTCTTTGCTATTGTAAATAGTGCTGCAATGAATATACATGTCCATGTGTCTTTATAGTAGAATGATTTATATTCTTTTGGGTATGTACCCAGTAATGGGATTGCTGGGTCAAATGGTATTTCTGGTTCTAGATCCTTGAGGAATCGCCATACTATCTTCCACAATGGTTGAACTAATTTACGTTCCCACCAACAGTGTAAAAGCATTCCTATTTCTCCACAGCCTCACCAGTATCTATTGTTTCCTGAGTTTTTTTAAATCACCATTCTTACTGGCATGAGATGGTATCGCATTGTGGTTTTGATTTGCATTTCTCTGATGATCAGTGATGTTGAGCTTTTTTTCATATGTTTATTTTGTCTGTGTAAATGTCTTCTTTTGAGAAGTATCTGTTCATATCCTTTGACCATTTTTTTGATGGAGTTGTTTTTTTTTTTTCTTGTAAATTTGTTTGAGTTTCTTGTAAATTCTGGATATTAGATCTTTGTCACGTGGGTAGACTGCAAAAATTTCCTCTCACTCTGTAGGTTGCCTGTTCACGCTGATGCTATTTTCTTTTGCTGTGCAGAAGCTCTTTAGTTTAATTAGATCCCATCTGTCAATTTTGGGTTTTGTTGCAATTAATTTTGCCTTTTTATTATGAAGTCTTTGCCCATGCCTATGTCCTGAATGATATTGCCTAGGTTTTCTTCTAGGGTTTTTATGGTTTGTGGTTTTACATTTAAGTCTTTAATTCATCTTGAGTTCATTTTTACATAAGGTGTAAGGAAGGGATCCAGTTTTAGCTTTCTGCATATGGCTAGCAAGTTTTCCCAGCACCATTTATTAAACAGAGACTCCTTTCCCCATTGATTTTTGTCAGGTTTGTTGAAGATCAGATAGGTGTAGATGTGTAGTGTTATTTCTGAGGTCTCTATTCTGCTTTATTGGTTTATATGTCAGTTTTGGTGTCAGTACTGTGCTGTTTTAGTTACTGCAGCCTTGTAGTATAGTTTGAAGTCAGGCAATGTGATGCCTCCAGCTTTGTTCTTTTTGTTTATGATTGTCTTGGCTACATGGGGCCTTTTTTTATTCCATATGAAATTTAAAATCGTTTTTTCTAATTCTGT